TGGGCTTGACGTGGGAACAGGAGCCCTCTCGGGGCTGGACGTGAGAACAGGAGCCCTCTCTGGGCTGGACGTAGGAACAGGAGCCCTCTCTGGGCTGGACGTGGGAACAGGAGCCCTCTCTGGGCTAAACTCAGGAACTGGAGCCCACACTGGTGCGGACTCAGGGCTGGAGCCCACACTGGAGCGGACTCAGGGGCTGGAGCCGACACTGGAGCGGACTCAGGGGCTGAAGGCAACACTGGAGCGGACTCAGGGGCTAGAGCCGACACTGGAGCGGACTCGACACTAGAGCGGACTCAGGGGCTGGAGCCAAGACTAGAGCGGACTCAGGGGCTGGAGCCGACACTGGAGCGGACTCAGGGGCTGGAGCCGACACTGGAGCTGGCTCAGGGGCTGGAGCTAACAGTCTTTTCCCCCTCAGATTCCTCCTTTGGTTTGAGGTGAGGGAGACAGCTGCTGTCAGCTGAGGGCTTGGGAGTGAATTGGCCGGCGGACTTGACTCGGACTTGGCGATGGTAGTTGGCCCCGATCCAGAACAAAGAATTCAGTGTGGCATCGTCCAATGCTGTCAATACGCCGAGCCCACAGAATTCCCTGGCATACTACACAAAAGGAAGGTCCTTACGGGCTAGGGCAGCGAATCTCACAGCAGTTTCTATAATCACGAAAAAAAAACTACTTTCAAAAACGGAAACAAAAACGGGGGAAGGGGCTCCGCTTACTGTTATACGGTTCGGTGTTCTGTCACGATCTGCCTACTGTGTTGGAGCGAGGAGACGCGGAGACGTGGGAGAATTAACGAAGAGTCTTTAATGAACCAAAACAGGGTAACACACACGTAGCACATGGAGTTGACGTATAACACCGAATGCAGGACACAGGAAAACACAGGGCTTAAGTAACAGGAACTCAACGAGGTAATTATTAAAACACACCTGAACCAAATGGACACAATCAAACACGGGAGAAACTGGGTTACAGGGAGAACATGGGGAGCAAAACACAAGACAGGAACACAGGTCTGACACTACATATATTTTACAAATTCATTTGTCACACTGCAGAAGTGCACCGCAAAAATGAATACAATCTAAATATTCAATATTAAATTAAGATGCATTTATAGGATAAACAAAATTAGAAGTCTTGTTTTCTGAAGGAAAAAATATCTTCCAACGGAGTCTGGATGATATTCTTCCTTGTTTTAGCATAATTTTGATACATTTTTCAGAAAACAAGACAACAGTCATTGTGCATCTAAGTAAATGTAAATACAGTACAGTAATCAAATATTCAAAGAAAATGCAACATTCTTAAACAAATATTAAACATTATATTTAACACAAACATATATAAACAGAGTGCAATATGCAATACACTGTGACAGTGACTTTTAACAATCAATTAGACCCAACATAAATGAACAAGAGATAATAAGAGAATGCTGGAAAGTGGCTACAAATTCAAGATCTATATCTGGACCAAAATTTAATTATTTTCATTTTCAGTGGTGAAAAACGTAACGTTCAGTGGTGAAGAACTCATCAAAGATGACCTGACCAAAGCCCATGGATCTGCGAATTTAGATTTGCTTTGAATACAGCATGGCATGAAAGCACAGGTTTTTCACCCGCTGAAGTAGCCCTTGGACGTCAATTGAAAGGACCACTACAAAGAGCTCTACAGAATCCGCCAGATCCAGATCAACCAAGCTACAGTACAATTGATCGCCAGAAACTACTGTATGAATCTGTCAGAGAAAATGTTGAGAAAGCACAAACTAAACAGAAAAAGTATTACAACCTCAAGAGAAGAACCCAAGACTTCCAGGAGGGTGATATAGTTTGGGTGCGTACTCATCCTCTATCTCGTGCAGATGATGGTTTCATGGCTAAAATTTCCCCAAAATGGCGAGGGCCAGCTAAAGTAGTCAAGAAGCTAGGTCCAGTAAATTACAAGGTGTCAATGTTGTCTGATCCTACCCAGATTGACAGTTACCATACCCAAAACTTAAAAATTTGCCATGTGTCAAATTTTGAAACCAAAGGGAGGGGTATGTAACGGACAATGTTACAATGTGTTTGAAGCGTTGAGCAGTGTAGCCAATCACAGACATATCTGTTGATTTCTGGAACACAATGGCCAATCAAAGGTGTTAGAATCCAATCGCTTACGTTAGTTCTTACGTTGAAATTTGCGTGCTCACAAATCCTCTTATTATAACACACGAAGTGTAGACATTATGAAAGATTAATTGTGCATATATTCATTGTGATATAACAGAGTTTTGTGAGATTAGAATGAACTGAGATGTAGTGATTATAAAGGAAGCGCTGTTTCCTCGCATTCTGCCAGCAGCTGCCAATGCTTGCTTTTTTGTTAAAAATAACAGTGGTTTGTGAATGTTGACGCATTAATAACAAATATTTTATCAGGAGCATATGCTGTGATGTTGTAGAATATACAGGATGTTTTCATGTAAATTTCATGGATGTATTAAGAAATATCTATATTGGCTACTTTTATGCGGGATTTTGCGGACGGGAGCGGGACAAAACATGAATATTGCGGGTGAGAGCGGGACAAAACCACATATATTTCTGCGGGAGAAAACATACTCAGCAATGTCACCTCACATTACCTTACTCATAAAATCAGTAAACCCTATGTGAGATTAAAATTTCGCAGAGGAACAGTCCTAACAGCATGACTTAACAGTTTTATTTTTGTACATGTCTTTGAGTTTTCCAATGTTTAATGTGCTGTAATTTGGCTGAATGTAATGTGTTTGGCAGTATTGTTCTGGTCCAGATCAGTGTGATGGGGGTCAGTGGATGTTAGTGGAACATCAGGACTGAAGCTCTGGAGCAGCTGAGAGAGAGGATCGGTTCCTTTGCTCAGCTCTCTCGCTCTCTCTCGGGGGTCTGTCTCACAGGTGGCTGTCAGCTGGATCTCTCTCTCGCCGTAATGATTTATTTGTCCTGATAATGCTGGAGTCCAGGCCAGAAACGAGCGCTGAAAACACTGACTTCATGCCAGAGCGTTACCAGACACTGACACACACTTACACACACACTCTCTCTCACACACACACTTACACACACACTCACACACACACACACACACACACATTCTCACACACACACACA